AGCTGCGTTCTAAATTAAGATGTATATGTGAAATTACAAAGATTACAGTTTTCTACATTTAAAATTTTTAATTTATTACAAAATAAAAATGTTACCGTTTATATATATATTTTTTTTTAATTTTTAATTACAAATATATTTTTAGTTTACATAAATTAAATAGTTTTTTATTAATAAAAATTAAGATTTTCTTAACATGAATTTAGTTATGTTTTAAAAGTAACACAACATCATTCATTTAATATGTTCATTTGAAAATTTTTATTATAAAAATTGACAGCTCAACCTGCAACTTTTCATATAAAATGTTGTTGTTGGTGGAAACGTTTTGGTTTTTATTATGGAACATGAATTACAAACCAGATAAAAATTAAATAATTAATAACAATTTGAAAATAACACTAGTTTCTTTATTTATTTACCAGATATGCAGTACACGGACTTCACTTCCTATTTTGTAAGAATAAAAATTACCATTCAAATGTATATAATGATTGCGAATGTGAAAAATGTGGGAGGAAAATAAACTTGTATCATTTTAGTGAATGTTGTAAAAATAATTTAAGCTTGTCTGAAGCTGCGAGAATGAATCATAAATAATTAATTGTACGTTGAAAAGTTGTACACATTTTGTGTTTAATAAATTTCTATATATATAAAATAACACTAGTTTCTATAGCTGTCTTAATTAGCGGTTAGACTTAACATATTTTGATGTTGAGAATTTAAAACCCAAAGAAATCACTTGAAACGGGAAATAATTAAATTAGTACGTAACGAATTGCACATCAAGGCAATTACTCACAAGTACTAATTTAAATATTTTTTTGTCTTTCAATTTTTAGCCTTTTTAGGTCTTGCACTTATACAATACTTCTAATGAGATTTGTATATCTTGGTGTGACTCTTTTGCCCTCTTTATCTCTTACTTAGAAAATCGATTTTTTTATTATATGATTTATGATCTAATTTTCGGTAATTACTTAATTTTTTGTTTAAAAATTAAGTTTATTCTGCCATTTCATTCAAAGGATGAGCTCAACAGAAATCCCATATGTTCCGTAATTTTTACAGTACTTGCATGCGCACCAACAGTGTGTCTCGTGCCGCATTTTATTATGTCCCCGATATTTACGACTGGCAAATGCCCGCGGATCGCTTCATAAAAATGTCACTGATGATGAAGCGGCTTTTAACGCGGTCGATCTGTCAAAAATTGGCGAACGCCGGTCTTTCTTTCTTAACGCAATAAATAGGCGTTTTATTGCTCGCCACTGCTGAAAAGAAAATATCGGAGAAGTACAAACCGCGATGGTATATATAAATCACCAGGATGACGAAGCAAATTTGCCTCGGCGCAAGGTTGCAAACAATATAATAAATTGCGCCACGTGCCACATTTAAATCGGCGCAAGATTACTTTCGTTGTTTTCACCGAACTCGTTGGACTGCCACTTTAAACCGTTCATAAATTGTCTTGCGAGAACCCGACTGTCGATATATCTGACGGCCGTAATGGCCGCGTGCTATGCAAATTCCCTGCATATTGGAGCAGTCGATCGCCAAAGTTTGCCCATCACTCACCGTCAAACATACCATCCTTATCTATTCCTTCAAACTTTGCCCATATTTATATGTATTTCTACTCCCGCGGCCTTCAAAAAAAACATTCAAATTAATTCAAGAACAATTTATTAAAAAAAAAATCATATATCTTATAAAAGAGTGTGAATCGATTGATGAGAAAAACTTCTCTAATGAAAATTTAGGTGCTTTTGTAATTTTCGCATTTGCGGTTAAAAGAAAAAAATATAAATAATTCAGTCTGAAAAAATGAAAGCCTTCGACAAAAACCTTTCAATTGATTGCTGTGTAATGCGTTTGAATTTTAGTATTAATTGAATTTGGCATTTCCTTAAAAATTTATAATATTTAATTTTACTATTATTGTCTTTATTAAACACAAATGTGTACCACGTCATGAATTGCTGGTCGAAATCAATAATAAATCTTAATTTAATTATAATTATCATTTAAGTTTTATCTTTATCTTGTGTAGCATATTCGGTTAGAGATTTTACTCTTTTAGAACAATTAAGGAGGTGATACAGGGAAATCTCCTTTTCATCACAAAGTTTACATACACAATTTGCTCTCGCAGTATGGAAAGTTTTATCTTTACAAATACAATGATGGAATCCGTGCATTGCAAACCGGGTTTGAACATGTCTGTTTTTAAACAGAGGCTTTTTCCAATTATTATTTAACATTGCTGGTGTTTGATATATTTCATCGTTAAAATCTCTTTCTTTTCTCACCCGAATATGTGTTAGAAACTCATCTTAAGCTCTGGTATCACTTAAATTAAATGTATTCTTAATTTTAGTTACAAAAGGCTCTTCATCATCAATCAAAAGATACAAGTATGAGCTTCTAGAAAATTTGCTTACTCCTAAAACTTTTTTGAAATATCTGGTCATTAAATTTTAATAATTTAATTTTACGATATCTTTAAATTATTTAATTATAAGCGATTCAGCTATTTAATTTAATTACGAGACACACGCCTTTCTGCACATATTTACACTTATTTATTGGCCACATCTGTCGTTGAAAAGCGTTCTTTTGCTTCTCAAATCACTCCCCAATACCACTTGCTCTACCTTTCCGCGCCATTTGTATATCCAATTTCAACAATTTTCAGTTTCTACTTTACCCAGTTTGATGCCTTTCGCTTACAATTAGATTGACCATTACGTGAGAATCATAAAATTCTGTTTTAATTTCTGAAATTAACAGCTGATTCTGAATAAATTTATAGGAAAATTTGTCGTTTCCGAGAACTTGAAATTTAAATTGATTAAATCAGCTACAAAGAATTTTTTTCGTCTTTTTAGTACTTTTGAGAGAAGGATGGACAAAATCGCAAAAGCGATCTGCGATCCGCGATTGCGATCTGATCGCGATCGCAATCGCAAAAGGTGGTTGATCGCAGGCGATCATTTGCGATCTTTTTGCGATCGAAGAAAGAAAAATTTTTATGCTTAATCTGGGCGAATTTAACGCTAAATCTGAAAGAAAAAAATGTCAATTTCAGGTAATTTGACAGAAAAATTTCTTAAACTAAGGCTTTTCATTTACGGAGTTCATTTTTGTTCGGCCTCCTCGTTCTGAAACCAGAATTGATAAAAAAACGTTCGGAAATTCATTTTTTTAAAAATATATTTGATCGCAAATGATCGCAACGTTTTTGATCGCGATCGCAATCGCACGATTTTTCAATTTCACGATCGCAATCGCACAATTTTTAATTTTCAAGATCGCGATCGCGATCGCAATCGCAAAAATTTGAGATCGCGTCCATCCTTTTTTTGAGAAATGCATGAAAATTTTCCAATTTTTTTTCACTAGTTTCTTGCTGCTACTGGTCTATCTTTCTTTCTGTTTCTCTCCGTCTCTCGGCAGCGTTTTATTAACCCAATTTTTGTTGCTCGTCGAGGTTGGGCTGGTGAATATTTATCATCATATTATCCTCTGGTAGCGCGCGCGGTATACGAGAGAGAGAGAGCAAATAAAAGAGAGCGACAAGTATAGCAGCGGTGCTGGCGCGCGGCCAGACCTGCTGTGTCTGTCCGTGGCGCCTGTCTTGGGGTGGAGTCCGCGGCCGGCGTTTGCAGCGGGGGCGTTTACGAGGCCTAGCGCAGTCGGACGCCGCCAAAGCAGTGCAGGTGATGAGCCGACTCATCTCTGCACTTTCCTCCTTCGCCGCGCAGAGTAAATACATAATAAAACGCTGCTAATGACTTTCCTTGATCGGCCCACGAGCAAAACAACTCCAAACACAAAACTTGTTCTCAATCCAAAGTAAATAAACGCTTCAAAATTATTTTAAAGATATAATGAAATTTATTAAAATTATTTAAGTTAGTGTTTGTTTTATTTTTGTTTTGCAATATTTAACTAATTTGTCTTAAATTAAAAACTTTTTAAGATTATAAAATGAATTATCAATTTTTGTGCAATTTATCACTATTTTAATTGAAAAACATTTAAATTTGATTTATTATTAAAAAATAATAGTCACTTGCATACTAAAAAGAATATTGACTAAATTCTAAAATGCTTCAATTGCCCTTTTCCCACTTTTTCGCATTAGAATCCGATTAAAATGATAGCGATTTTAGTTGTTAATAATTTAAAACACAACAAAAAGTAATTGCACTAGAAAAATTATTAACAGGAATAAATTTTATTTGTTATGGTCAATTTCAAACTACATAATTTGTTAAATCGTAATTAAAATATTATCAATATTCTTTTAAAGCTGGCAGGTCATCCATCTTAACTGGTGTATCATTAATTTTATCCATGCACAATTGATTCAACAATATGTACAATCAGATGCATATGATTCTGCATATGCAACTCGTGAAACAAAACCTTAAGTTGTTTATGCATAAATCATACAAATATTCTTCTTTTTAATTTAAAAATATACAAGTTAATGCCAGGAGTATTTTTAAAAGAATAAAAAGTAATAAAAAAAAAATTCTTTTGGGCTGAATTCTAAGCAATTTGTCAACAAATTTCTCCATAAACTCTGTGTGGCTTCAGGAAAAATTAAAATCGGAAAACATGTATTTCAGAGCATAATTTGTCAACCCTTTTAAATAAAATTGTGCCGAGTGGCCAGGAAGTAGATCGCCGCATCATAGAATGGGAGCGCAGATGCTGATGTTGTTGATCGGAAACGGCAAACTACTTGAACTCTCTCGAGAGCATTTAAGAAAAAGAACTGCGCTCATCCAATATAACAAATGTGCAGCACTCTCTGCATTAACGGTTGAAGAATCTTCTTCGCAGAGAAAATTACTACGCCGACAGCATTATTGGGAACGAATCCAAACAGTCTCCAATGTGCATCCAAGCTCGATTGCAGGCAGGTGAAATCAAAAGAAAAAATCAGTTTGAAATTGTTTTATAGTAATTATAGTATTTATTGATCTAGAGAACTAGTGCCTCATTAAATGCACGAGAGCGCTTAAATTACAACTGTTTGAATAACAGATCGGTTCATTCGGGTGCTTTTTAAGAAGGAAGTTCAAAATTTGGCATGCCGGGGCCGCGAAATGGGTCAAGTTTTCAAAAAATGATACTTTTCCCACAACTCTGTCGCACTTTCTCTCTCTGTTTTCAATTCAGGCAGTGTGGGACTTCATATCGTGGGCTAGATTTTTTTCGATAACAACTCATTACATACTTTTTCATCACAACAATTTTGCAGATCACATTTCGAGCGGACGTCGCGGTGCGGAATCTACGGGGGGGATAAACTGCTACTCTAGGATGCCGAGAGCGACGCAGATTCCGCGGCCAACGAAACACTCTCCGATTTTTTATTACACACATCGTTCATTATTATTGTCAGTCGAATTTGGGGGGCGTTTCAACATTATTAGCAACAAGTAACATAGTCGTACAGAATTTTCGCGTATAATCTCTCTTCATCTATTGTCGTTCAGATTGCTTAAGGAGTATTGCACGTGGATGAGATTGCAAGGAATGCGTCTGGAATGCGATTAATTTCTCTCTTTTTTTTTACTTAATCTCTTCTTGATAATGATAACTACGCAGGGCGTTTTTTTCTCTCTGGGGAGAGCAAACTGCCGCGGCCACAGAGGGCGATGTCTGCGTCCGCTCTGCTCTTACTGTAAAAATATTATGATACAGGAGTATTTTTTTTAAATTTAAAAGCGAAATTGCGTGTGGATACTTGTTCGTTTGGTTTGTGTGTCGATGAACTCGTGTCTACGGCGAATGTGGGACGAGGTGATTGATTAATATTTATTCTGATACATGGTCGAGAGGGCGAGCAGGCAAATTCACAACTTCTGTAATTAAGGCATTGTGTCTTCTAATCAACTCGTGGTTTCTCTTTTATTTTTCTTATGCACATTAATTAATAGGCCTAAGTAGAGAGTGATGTGGGAATAGAAGGGTTGTTTTTTTAATACTTAATTATAATCACGTAGGAAAAAAACGGGGTGGGATCGGAAGCAGCCATAAGCAAAATGAGTTTTTCTTTTTTACTTGCTCATCTGTGATTGTGGTTGTGTTTCTCGGTGTATTTACAATAGCAGCAATAATAATAATAATAATATTTATGTTCTCTGCTTTATCGCTTTTTACAACATTTTACAGCAACTGCACTCTTTCTCTCACTGTACAAGTCTCGTTGCTTCTTTTTTACAGACCTTACATATCGCAGGTGATATAAAACCCCACAACGAGGCTCTGGTCCCCCATGGAATTTTGCAATACCCTACCAATTATTTTCTCCTCCGTACCCAAAGAAAATAATATAAATAAAATTTTAAATAAAATCGGAAATTTGGGCTTTTGGGACTCCTGCATATAAAAATTTAAAAAATAAGCGAATTGAATTCTCACAATAATCAGAAATAAAGAATGTTAAAAATATTTCGTTTCCGTAGGCTAAAATTTCAAGTACCAACCTGTCTTTTGAATTGATTTAAGACAGATTGAGTTAAATATTGCCGGGGCAAAATAGATTCTGTGATAAAAGCACTGGATCAATGGATTTAAAATCTGCTAAAACTGCCCTAGTTTAATTTGCCATTAGGAAACTGAAATATTTTTAATTTAATTGAATTGCTTTTACTCCAATGGAAAACGTCTGAGTAGTTCAATTTTAAATTTGGGCACAAATAATAAATATCAATGGAATGTAATAAATAAGAGTTTATTTAAGTAATAATAAAAGAAAAAATTAATAAAATTCAATTAAATGAGTAATCCTCAGAAAATCACTGGCAAATAACTAAAGGCTCACTGGGGCGGATGGGCTCTTTTTTATCTTGGAAGTTTTATTTAACTCTTGCAAGTGGTGGTGCCGTTTTGTCCAAAAATAAATTTTTTTTAAGTTAATTTTGTTTAAACATGTGGAAAAATAAGCATCAAAAATAACAATATAATAATAATAATCAAATCAAACAAAGCTGAGTAAAATTTTAAGTAATTTGGTTGAAATGATGTCAAAATTTTTTAGATTTTGAGACAAAAACTAAAATGAATTGCATAATTTTGGAACCACTTTTTTTGCTGGATTTCCAAATCATTTGAGTACTTTTCAGATGTTTTCCGTTTGAATAAATTTGAATGAATCGCGGCGGGGAGGGGTGGGGTCGATTTTCCAAATCGACGTCCGAACCGAGTGGTGCGAGCCGCCGAGAAAATAAACGTAGGGTATTCAGGGAGCCAAAATTCTAATCGTATCATCACAGATTTATCAGGGATTACCCCGTTTAAAAGTTGAAGGAGAGTCGGCGCGAGTCGGGGTGCAGTCCGTGTCGGTGCGGGCGGCGGCACCTCGCGCGCATCTAGTATCACCAAATGCTTTTTGAATCAAATCGCGGCGGTCGCGGTCCAACCGGACGCGCGCACTCACTCTGGGTCCTGTCCTTAGGGGCACCCGCACTCCTCGACGGACATTTTGGGCAGGTCCTGCTTGACAATGTTACTGTCCCTGTCGAAGTAAATCAAGGAAATCGGCGAGAAGCGGACCGGCGAGCAACACGGCTGCAGACCGGCCAGCCGGTAGCGCGTGCGGTATTGCTCCATCACGTGCGTGTGATAATTGAGAAAGGTGTCGGGGGTGCGGTGCAGTCCGCAGGTGCCGCGGCAGTAGTTGGCGTAGTAGCCGCTCGGCTTGATGATCCAGTCGCTCCAGCCGATTTTCGTAAAGTTCACATAGAAGCGCTGCTTGCAGCACTGCTTCACCTGGCCACTGCACTCGAGCGCGTGCCGCTTCATCCGCTTGGGCACGTCAGGGTCCGTGTGCACCACGAGGAAGGGCCGGTGGTGCGGCGGCCGCTGCCGCGCCGCGCCCTCCAGCAGCGGCTGCACCAGCTCGCAGCACCCGGCGCAGTCCACCAGCAGGTGCAGTTTGCGGCGCCGCGCCGCGTCCGGCGCCGCCGCCGACACCGAGTACCACTCCTGCACCGTCTCTGTGATGTCGAACTTGAGCCAGCCGAGCGCGTCCGTCGACACGTCCAGCGAGCTGGCCAGCTCCAGGTCCTGAAACACGCACGTCGCTTTCCATCACCATTCAAAATACTCATTCGCTAAACAATAAAAAAAATAAAATGCACTAATTCTATTTTGCTAATTTTTTAGGTTACAAAAGCAAATGTGTTTTTTGTTGAAATAAAATGTTGTATATTTTTTTGGCATGCTAGCAATGCTTGAAACAAAATAAATTTTGATTTGTAATGCTGGTATTTTGACTGATTTGAATATATTTTTTCTATTATTAAATAGTTACGTTTTCTTTTAATTATTTTTATGCTTTAAGTATTCGATATATCAGGGAACAAGATGAAAACAAGAAAAGAAGTTATTTTTTCAACTAGAATTCTTAAATGTTATAATCATCAAATAGTTGTTTATTATATATTTTATACATAAAATTTTTTTTTGGCATTATTGTCTTAACCAGTTTCACTCTTTTGTAGAAGAAAATGTGTTATTGTTATATTAAATTATTAAAATAACAAAAAATTTTTAAATAAAAATGATATTTGCTATTAATTAAATAAAATTTTAGAAAATATCAGATAGCATAATAAAACTTATTAAATTTTATTTTAAAGTAGTTTTTTTTTAATAAAAAATTTAACAATTAAGCGGTAAACTGAACTAGAAGTTTTTTTAAATTTTGGTTAAAAATTAGTTTTGATTTGAAATTGAAATCCAAGAATAGAAACAACATTCCTGACATTCTTCATTCAAAAAGAAAATAATTCCCAAAGAACTACTTCGCACCTTCAGGGGTTGAATTGCAACACAGACCACAATTAATTAGCCACTGGCTATTTCCAATATTTCTCAAATACTAAGTATCTGGGCAAACCCGATACACCCTTATTTGAAGCGAAAAAGTTCCTTGGGAATTACTTTTTTAAATTTAAAGATGAATTTGAGAAAAAGAAATAATAATTTCATAATTATTTAGTACAATAGGCAAAATGAAAAGAACAAGAAAGTAAAATTTAAGAAATTAATAGCAGTGTTTTTTTAAATTTTAAGATAAAGGTTAAGAAATCTTGCTTGTGCACCAACATACCTTACCACTAAGGTATGTGGCATTGATGGACGCCGCCACGGCGTTCGCCCTGAACACGTAGAAGCTGAAATTTTTATGCCGCGGCGCGTGGTGATGATGGTGGCACTGAATGGGGCCCGCGCCGCTCAGGGCGCCCCGCAGGACCCCTGGCCGCAACTCCATGCGCACCCACAGGTTCGCGGACTTTATCCGCAGGTCGCCCGCGTTTTCTTGGCTGTGCGAGAACTCGAGTAACGATTGCCCGTTTAATCTTGGACCTGCGAACAGAAAAGAGACAAACAAATCAGCTCAAACAAATCAAAGTACTGCAGTTTGGATGCACAAAAGGTTTCTATCTTATCGGAAGCGGAATAAATCGCCGGCGAGAGTGATTTTGGTTGTAGAGCTCGTTCTTGATTTATAAAGGCGAAGCAATTAGCCCGGCAAGAGATCTTTTTCTTTATATAAACAAACTGCTCTCCCAGGCTTTATATATATAAATACAAACTAAAAGTTCTGCTTTTGTTGCAGTGATTTATCACTGCATTCGTGTTCGATCGGGGCAGCTGCAGGACGGTTGTCAGGTTGAATAAAGCGCGCGAATAATGCAGCAGATCCGGAGAACGCGTGCAACAGAAACACTTTGTTATATTGCGAGCCGGCCTACGTTATTTATGGGCCAAACATGCACCAAGAGGGAGGAAAAGAGTTCCTTAATCACTGGAGAAAGTTTCCGTAGAGTGGGTGGACTATATTTTATAACAAGGGCTACAAGTTCATTTGTTCAAAATAAGAAAATAATAAATTCATATGATTTGCACATAGAACATTGCCAAGCTTGAGAACCATTGCAGGCGTATTTCAAAAATTTAATTTCCCTCAACATCTTGAAATAATTTGAGAATTTTATAAATTTCTATTGTAGTTTATTCATCCAATTAAAAAATTATATAATTTAAAAAAATTTAATTATCTATTTTCAGCATTAATATCGATTAAAAGTTAATACTCATGTGGATTTCATCAAAAATTAAAACCTGGTTGTTTAAAGTAAAATGAAAAAAAAAGAAGAGAAACTGATGAACTGGTAATTCAAAATCTACTTTTTTAAATCCAACTTAACTTAGGAGGGAGGTAAATTTACAAAATAAAAAATAAAATGTTAAATAAAACTGAAAAATTATATTTAGATTATTAAAATTAAAAGCTCACTGCAGCACATGGGATCTTTTGATCTCGGAAGTTTGTTCTTGCTTGTGGTGGTGCCGTTTTTTCAACGAATCTTTATTTTTAACTGTTTTCAACCAATGAGATGTAACAATTTGGACAGTTAAACAAATCTTAATAGAAAAAAACGTAATTTTTGGAAAATTACTGCAAGAACCCATTGAATAACTCAGTTGCTTTTAATTAATTTATAAAATTTTTATGCTTTTTATTATTCTATATTCCCAATTTCAATTTTTGTGAAAATGAATAGACCAGGCTTTTTCTCGTTGCAGAAAAATTGTTTTTTATTCAAAAACAAATGGCTCACATAAATTTATGTGTTAATATTTTAATCCTAGTTGGACTTGAGAAACCCCATATTTCGAAATACTGCAGGTCACCTTTAGACTTCAGTTTGTCCTTCTATTATATTTATTATCTTTTTCGTTATTATTGATGGACGTTTAATGAAGTGGATTTCAAGAAAAATTAAAAACCGATAATAGTAAAAATAACTTCAATTCCATTTTTTATCTATTGAATGTGTGAAAAGTTCTAAATTTATTTTACTATTTACTCAATATGTCTCGTGAAGTGCTGCACTAACATTATATTTCTTCAGGAAAATGCACGAATAATTTCTTGCTACTCGCAAGGACGGCGGCACATTAGCAAGAAAAATTATTCTCATGCTGCATTATTTACGAGTACATCGAGTCGTAAAACAGCGCCACTCATTCTTTCCTCCTTTTCGCAGCAGTTTCTATTACTCGCATTCGCACGCCCATAAAGCTACTTTTTTATGAATCAAATAAGCTTGTGTTCACGTCACAATAACTCGGCCGCATTATTCTTCTTTCTCCCGCGGCAAACAAATTTATGATTTTTACACTTCTCGTGATGTTTTTATTAAGTTAAGAAAAGAAACGCTCAGCACGAGTTCATCTGCTGCGAACATTGTTTTGGGATTTTCGGCGTGACTTATGGTTAAATACGAGATTTTGCATGTGGCGCGCGTACGAGAGAAAAAAAAACGACGACGACTCGGTCTGCAGATGCTTGTTTTAAATGGATAAATTCGCTGCTTTTTCGCATGGCGTGGCAAAAAAGTTTGTCTCCGGCAGAGGCCATTTTTATCCACAAACACTCAGTGTGTTTCTTGCTGTGGAGCCGAATGCCATTATAATACGCTCGCTCGCAGACTCAAAATAGCTCTTTTAAAACTTTATAGTGCTAAACTTTTCGTATGAAAAATCACCCCATAGCGTCGCGCAGAGCCAATTCTGAATATCATTTTCGCATTCGCTCAAAGGCTATTTAATGATGTATGCTTTTATTCTATTATGTGCTCTTGGCTGCAGACGCCGTAATAGCAGAGTGCAATGTGGATAATGGGCGTATGTACGTGTTTCTTGCAATTGAAAATATATGGAAAATATCGCAAGTTGAATTTCTCGAACATAACCAGAGGAATATTATTTTAAATTGGTATTGAATTTATGGAACAGCAAAATAAAGTGATTCATAAAATAAATATGTAAATTTATTAATTTATTTATCATTTTTTATTTAAATTACTTTATTAAAATTATATAGTTTAATTTTTATTTTTAATTTGATTTATAAAACAGAATTTGAGTTGTAAAGATAAAAAAGCAATAATCATGTAAAAATTTGACACTAAATTTATATTGAATGTAAATATAATTTTCAAACTGATCAATACTCAGATTATCAATGTATTCCATAGAACTATACTTTGATCCTTCCTCTACATAGCTTTTTATTTATACAATGAACCTATAATTTGCATTAATTCAAATAACTGGAATAAGTGGAATACTTTAATTGTTTGATGGATATTTAATGAAAATATCTCAAATGTGCTGTTGAATATTATGACAATAAATTTCAATTGACATCAATACTGATCAGTACATTAAATATCGTTTTATGCCTGATAAACTCAATTTGAAATGAAAATAAAGAAGAAAAATACTATAAATAATTAAGAAAGTTAACATATAAGCAGAAAAAATTGTTTGATGTTTGATTTAAACAAGCAAAGCTTGCGCACAAAAGTTTAGAATGGAGACAATCTTATTAGAATTTGCGATCGTTCGGATTCAACCGCCAAAGAGATCATTTTCCGCTACATCTCTGTTGGCAAAATCAGAGACGACCGCAAAAGAAAGAATCGAGTGATCGAAATGCAAATTTGGCCAAACAATACAAGCCAAAAGTCGACTAAAGTGCTCTCTTTTGCGGTGGAGCGAAATATGTTTCGCAATCGCGCACACACTCATGTCATACGTAATTCGAACAGAGCTAAAGAATTGGCACAAAAAATGAACGTGGCGGTCGGCAAATCCAATCAAGTAATGCACTCTCTCGAACGAGCGTCCGTTTTATTTTCATTAGCGCAAATTATTCCGGCCGGAGCTAGATTGGCGCGGGAAATATCGGGAAGGACTTGCAGTGCTGTTTTTCTTACGTCAGCGCGGGCAAATTTATTTTGTACGAAAATGCCCATTTTTATAACGAGAATGTATAAAAATTCCTCGGAGGGAAGCATCGTAATTATTTAGTTTGCTTTAGTCCGCCTCCCTTTCTTTCTCTCTCTCTACGCCGAGTCGGACGCGATTTTCGTGCTTCTTTGCGAGCGCCAAGAGGCGGGCAATGCGTCATTTTTAATGGCTCGCATTCAGACTGCGCTTGCGAGTCTGGCTTCGGCAGCGAGAGAAGAAAATTCAAAAAGTATTCCATCAAACGACGAGAGCGCAAAAACAAGTGTTTTTAAACGGCAGCAGCGGCGGGCGATCTATTTGTCTGCACTTTTTAGGTCATTATATATATGAAGGTTAAATTATTGTTTTTGGCCGGCGCGGATTTTTCTTGGTGCGCGAAACCGACATGCAAAGCGGACGCTCGGCGCTGTTTGGCTGGCTTTTTGCCGCGCGCGTCTGCAGACGATTAATCAGTTGCACGCAGCAGCGCCGAGTAATTTTTGCACTTTATGCCTCGTTTGTCACTTTTCGGACGGAAATGGATGGCCTTGCCAATATGGAGCCCAAGCCAATTTCCCGCTCATTTCTTTCCGATCGATTTTCTACTACAAGATTTGTTTTGCCGCTTCAAAATATCTGTTTCCAAAAATTATCAAAATTAAATCTTAAACTTTTTGCTACTGACCAGTTTTACACTAATTATTTGTTAATCAACTATTACAAATGTCAAATTTTATCCAAGTTCTGTTCAATGTTGAAATTTCCTCTGACAAACATAGTATGAAATAAATATTCGAAAAAAGCCAACCCAGCTGCAAACTGTGCTCGGTCGGATAATATTTTGAGAGTGGCGTTATCACAAGAGCTGGGAGCAACTTTGATTTTTTTTTCATCCGAATGAAAGCATTTGGTCGGAGAGAGGAGACTCTTCGGAAGGAAGAGATTTACGAGCAGCGGCACACAAGTGAAATCCTTCGTCGGGCGTAAAAAGAGGAGCAGCCGAGCCAATCGCCGGCAAGATTTAATGCTTCTTAGGTGGACACGTATCTGATGGAGGTGAAAGGTCGGCTCGTGCACGAGACGCTTTGACATTTTCCGCTCGCTCCGCCCACGAGTCACGAGGCCGAAGCGAGGTAGGCAACCGGTTGGACGCGGCCGACGGGCCGGCTGCATAAGCGCAATTCGTCACTGCAATCGGAGGGATCGAAAGAACGCGAGGGGAGGAATCTTTTAATCAATATGCAAAATGTTTTTTTTTTTAATTTAAATAATTATAAAATTATATTAATCCATGAAATTGTTTAAGAAAAAACATAAATCTTGCCTGTTTTTTTGCTCATTTCTTGCAGAAACGGTTTTGGTTCGTTTGTCACGTAATTTGTGTCCGGGACGGCGAATTAAAGGCAATCGAGTGCCCCCTCATTAGCCTCGTCGTACACAAGGGCAAAAAAAAAAAACAATCGAGCAGTGCGGAGAGGTCATCACTCACGGCACCCGCCCGCGCGTTCCGACAGGGCCCATTGGCGATCCAATGTAGCGTGGCGCGATCGCCACTTCTTCTT